TGTTGAAAACATCTGGTTCGTTAGTTCCAAACATCCTCAAATGTTCGATGATTGGCTTCAAATGGTTCATAGTCTTACTGGAAGACCACACAAATTCAATAACATGACAAGAATGAATACGATAGAAAATAATTCTAGAACATCATTTTTTTCAGAATCTCAAACAAGTACTACAGTTTCAACACTTGCACAGGATCAGTTTGCTTTGCAACTAAATGACCTAAAATCAATGGGGTTTACCGACGAGAATAGGAACCGAAGATTACTTACTGACAACAATGGTGATCTATCTTCGACCATTGATTCGCTCACAAATAGTTTCACAACTGTTGACTCATTTGTAGATAGCATTAGTCCTGTCGATAGCTTTACAGAGCAGCTACAGAGACTTGAATTGATGGGTTTTACCGATAAAGAACAGAACCTAATGCTGCTTAAACAATTCGATGATGATTATGAAAGTGTAATAGACATATTAACAGGTTAAAGCTAAATGTGCAAAATCACACTAATAATTGATCTTCTTTCGAGAGTTTTATTCACTTCAATGTATTCCAAAAAGAAAAAGTTAATATTTTTCTAACCAATGATCGAATATCATAGATACATAAGTATTAACTGAATTTATTATTGATTCAATGAATCTAGAATAATTTAGACCATCTCACTCTGGCTTTAGATAAAATATTTATTAGATAATTAGACTATGATATACATGAAACATAAAGAAAAGTAAAAGGAAGATAGATATGAATATCAACATTATCAATATGCAGAAGAAAAAATTTTTGAATCTATATTAAGAACCGATGAACATAATTATTTTGATGTAGAAAACGATGCTCAATAGACTTACATATAATATTTGAGAAGAGTTCTTTTTCTTTTCTATTTTTATTAGAAATGAATCAGAAGCTATTTGAATAAAACCAATATTTTCTTATCCAAATACATCAAATTTTTCTTCCAATTCAAACTCGACTGATTCAATGGACAATAAACCGAGACTATCATACTGTGTTTGAAAATGTAATTATGGTTCTATTACTATTGCATATATGTAATTTATTTTCTGTTGATAACAGTTGTAACTTAATTAAATACTTCAAATAAAATTGCAAATCTAATAGAAAATTATTATATTAATCTCAAGAAAATAAAAATTTATGCATATTTTCATGTCAAACTTCTGACATACGATTATTTATTGTTTCGAATATTTTCAATAAGGAAGAATATTAGAATAATTTTGAAGTAGTACCGAGATATACAAAACTTTTTTTAATATTCACAAGAAGTTATCAAAGAAATATGATTTTTAATCAGTTTAAGATCATTTTTCCAATATATTATAGACAACTAACTATTTGAAAGGATATTTAATATCAACTCAAATAATAAATAAAATATTTCTCGTGCACGAATTTATCATTGAAGAATATCATCGAGACTACGGAAATATATGTTTTAATAACTGGTTTCATTTAAATGAAATGCATAACTCGAATATATACACAAGAAAAATGTTGTACAACTTTAGTTAAGCCCAATAGAATTGAAATTAGTATTTTACATTCACGAATATCAATATTCTATGATGAATATTGTTTTCAATTTTAAAACAAAATCACTAATATCATAGATTTTACTGTATTACCTATGCATGATACGAACTGAAGAGACTTTCTTTCTATAAAGTTAAAACAAAATCATTAAAATTATTATGTTTTACTTAAAAACAAAGCAATTGAAGAATACATCGAACACTTGCAGCAAAGACTTCGACAAAAAACGAAAATTTTTCATACAAAAAACCCATTCCGATTATATGTTTAATGAATATACAACAAGGAGCGAAAAAACTATACTCTTATCAAGAAAAATTGATTTTTTTCCTATGTTTAATAATGTTTTAGATACTTGACCATTTCGAGCCAATCAGGAAATTGTGCAGGATATTTCGCACTAACAAAAAATACACGACCTACACATTTCAAACCAATTTTTGAAATTTCTTTTCGTATTTGTTCACAAAATTCTACTCGTTCTTCTTCTTCAATACGATCCATTTTGTTCACAACAATATCATAATGAAGTTCGATTGCATCTAAAAATTTCATTATACTTGAATTTTCTTTGATTGTAGATTGAACAAGAATGAGACGTCGTGTTAATCCTTTGAAAAATGATATATATTGCATACTCATATATGTTACTTCATCATTTCGACCAGGTATATCCCAAAGAATGAAATCTCTACCAGAATAAGATGAAACTTCTATAGTTGTTTCTCCAGCACCTGTTGCAGCTTTTTTTTCACCAAGAAGACTATTAAGCATTGTTGATTTTCCAGTTGATGTCAAACCAAAAAGTGCAATATTATTACCTTCCATTTTAATTGGTTTAGCTTGTTGTGCTAATTGAATAAGTGTTTGTTTTGCTTTTTTATCATGTGCTTCGATAGCTTCGAATGAATCTAATTTTTTTTCTTTTAATTCTGCTAG